CCTATATGTGAATATTACAATAGAAATTCTATTTGCCCTGAGCCCACAGTACCAGGGGGATTCAGAGAAAAAGGATCTAGGCCACCATACAGGCATGGCCATTCTGTGACATTTACTTGTAAAGCCAACTTCACCATGAAAGGAAACAAATCTGTCTGGTGCCAAGCAAATAAGACGTGACAGAGAAAAAGGATCTAGGCCACCATACAGGCATGGTGATTCTGTGACATTTACGTGTAAAGCCAACTTCACCATGAAAGGAAACAAATCTGTCTGGTGCCAAGCAAATAAGACGTGGGGACCGACGCCCCTGCCGACCTGTGAGAGCGGTGAGTACACAGGGACACTGAGGCACAGGCTACTCTGCACAGCCCACGCTGTGTCCTTCTGAGGGACGAGCGGTGTGACGGGGAGGGAGGGAGGTGGGAGACGGGGAATTAGGGTCTCCCACTCTTTCTTAATAATTGTTCATTCAGAAAACATCAATTGAGCAAAGGAGTTTGAAGTATAATGAGAAGATGTCATTGGGCATACATAAAATTGATTGAATAAGTCTCAAACGAGGGGGACCAGAGTTTGTTGGGACTGTGGGAATTGCGTGGTTTTAAACTGTATATCTGGGGTTACTGTTAAAAGGATAAGAAATGTGGGATCTAATAGCAAAACTAGACCGAATGGATTTAAAACTCATCTCTTAACAGCTGTTAATGTACTCTGGTGCAGATGACGCCCTGCTCTCTGTGACCTTTGGAAGGGCATTCTAAAGTGATCCACTGTGTCCCCAAGTCATCTCCTGGTCCAAAACATTTCAAATGAAATGTTGCTAAAAATAAGTACTACTATAAATTCATTTCCTTCTCATTTGGTTTGGTTTATGTTGCTGCTGAATTCTAGATCTGAATTTAGTTCCACAATTACAAGGATCAACAATATTTGACAAAGGTTATACCATCAAAATAGGTATTTATTTTTGTTAATAAAGAACAATATTTATAACATTTAAGGTGATTAAAGATCTGAAAATTATTAAATTATTTGAAAATATGATTCTATTGATAGATAGCCTTGGAGGTAGATTTTAAGTGTCACAAAAAAGAGTGGTTATGGAAAACAACTAAACCTTTATGAAGATTTAGGTTGACCTATATGTATTGACGTATTAAGTAAAGGAAGCAAGGCATAGAATAATATGTACTGGGCACATGCACACACACACCATATATATGTCTACAAGTATATCCATATCACATATAGGATCCCAATGAACTATATTATTACTGTCTGGCAGGATAACCCTCTAAATAGTAACATGCTACCTTTGGAGCAGAGAATAATAGGCTTATAGATGGGGTGAGAGTTTAAGTGAAAATGGGCTTTTTTTGGTAATTGAAATTTTTCACAAGGCAAATGTAATTCATCCAGTGTAACTAAAAATGAAAAATAATGTACTATTCATGGCATAAAATGGATACAATTAAACCACATCTGTTTGATCTTTAAAAGGCTGAGTTGAAAATTAACAACAACTGGTTACCATAGATCATGAGTCATTTATCTGGGTGTGTGTCCTAAGTCAGCATCTAAATTGTGAAGGATGTGTTATCTGATGGCTTTTTTCCTGATGTGTGTATATAAAGATTTCCCTCTGGAGTGTCCTCCACTTCCCACAATCCCCAATGGACATCACACAGGGGAGGCTGGTGGCGTCTTTGCCCCAGGATTGTCTGTGACTTACACCTGTGAACCTGGTTACTTGCTTCATGGAAGAAAGATCATTAACTGCTTGTCTTCGGGAGACTGGAGTGCTGCTACCCCCACATGTGAAGGTACCCTAAATTTACAATCTATTTTGAGAATGGGGCTATTCTGTTATTTTCCATACTTTTCTCATGTTTGGCTTGTTTATTTAGAGGCAAAGTGTGAATCTCCAAAACGACTTCTCAATGGACAGGTAGAGAAGCCTCCCAGTCTTCGGGCTGGTGCAACTGTGAACTTTTCCTGTAATGAAGGGTGAGTGTCAGGAGGGTCTATGACATTTAATGCATTTGGCTTATATGTGCATCGTGTGAACTGTGGAAGCTGGAGAAGGCATCTCTGTGAGGATCCTTGGACAGCCTGGGATGAGGTTGTGAGAAAGAATGCTGGTAAAACGAGTTGGTGCACACATGCTAAATGAACTTGTCTTGGATATCACATAGAGGCTGTGGTTCTTCAGCACAAACTGCCTAATAGTTCTGAATGACAACTTTTTGTCTCTAGGTATCGATTACAAGGCCCACCTTCTAGTCAGTGTGTCATTGCTGGACAGCGAGCTGCTTGGACCAGGATGCCAGTATGTGAAAGTAGGTAAAGCAGCTATGGTTGGCAAGGAACAAACTGGTTTGTTCCTTGGTCAGAGTTTCAAGAGGACATTACATTCTCAGCTTAACCAAAAGCTTTTGGTTCACTTGTTAGCATACAGGCTCTTATAGAGCAAAGAACTCCTAGAGATCTTTAAGGGATATGGTCTTCACTGAAGCATCCTTCAATTACCTCTTTATTCTCTGATTCATCAAGTTTAGCAGGATTCCTAGGCTTTTCCTTCTCTGAAAGCAATGTAGACTTGTGCTTAGTAGATAGATTGCATATTTGGTAAAAGAAATCAAAGGATCAGCAGAGTATATATATTCAGGGAAAAAGTTTTTAAATTATATCATTAATTTATACTGCTTTAGCTGTCTTGATTGATTCATTACAGATTCATATATGTCTGTGCTTGAGCCTAGTATATGAGTGTGGTATCAAGTCACATCTGAGGCATTCTTTGTTTGCATTACCCTGTGATCTTGTCATTTCTCTCTGTAATTTCTCTAGGAATTTTTTGCCCACCACCTCCCTCCATTTTCAATGGAAGACATACAAGCAGCTCTTCAGCAAAACTTCCATATGGAAGCACAGTCACTTACACTTGTGACCCGAGCCCAGAGGACGGAGTGAACTTCATCCTGAAAGGGGAGAACACCATCCATTGTACAACTGATAGTCAGAAGATTGGGACCTGGAGTGGCCCTGCTCCACGCTGTGAACTTTCTACTTCTGCAGTTCAGTGTCCACATCCCCAGATCCCAAGAGGCCAAATGTTATCTGTGCAGAAAGATCAATATTCCTATAATGACACTGTGGTATTTGATTGCATATCTGGCTTCACCTTGAAAGGCAGCAGGAGAATCAGATGCAATGCCCACGGCACGTGGGAGCCCCCAGCTCCAGTCTGTGAAAAGGGTGGGTGTCCCTGTACTCAGAAAAGGGGCTACTGATTCCCCTTTTTGAAAAGATAGAGGCAGGGGTATGGGCTTTAAGCAGAGCCTTTTCCAGATCCTCCTCCCCTCAACTATACTAAATATATGAATATAAATTCTGTAGAGGGTTTTCTTAACACCTTCTTACCACCATTATTTCATTTTGTGGCAGTATGCTCGGGAAGAAACACTACAGATCACTAAAGTGTCCATTTTCTTCAGGGGGAAAACACTAGGAGAAAAATGCTTGTTTGTCTTAATAGTGATTTCTTACAAGAAAAGTCATCAACGCCCTATTGCAGGGGTACATCAGAATGTCCCATAAAAGATGATTCCGTAAGAAGGCAAGAGACAGGAAGGAATAGTGATTTCTTACAAGAAAAGTCATCAACGCCCTATCGCAGGGGTACATCAGAATGTCCCATAAAAGATGATTCCGTAAGAAGGCAAGAGACAGGAAGGGAGTTACAGCACTGAGTGGGAGATGAACAAAATCTGCAGCAGCCCAAGTGCAAAAAGAAAAAAAGAGAAATGCTGATCTAAAATTACCCAGAACTGGGCTGCAAGTTTCCTTCTGTACCACACAACTGCCACCAGAGTGGAACTGCAGCATTAATGTCAATCTCTTTGGCTCAGTTTCTTTCTGTTGTTGTTTACTTAAGAAGTTTTGTTTTTTCCTTTCCTTCCCTCTAGAATGCCAGGTTCCTCCTAAAATCCTCAATGGGAGAAAGGAAGATGGACACATGGTCCGCTTTGACCCTGGAACATCCATAAAATATAGCTGTGACCCTGGCTATGTGCTGGTGGGAGAAGAATCCATACGTTGTACCTCTGAGGGGGTGTGGACACCTACGGCTCCCCAATGCAAAGGTGTCAGACCTCAAATGTAGATGTTCTGCTGGTTTTAAGATTGCTCTGAGTTGATTTCTCATCCTAGTCTCTTTTCTTAGTGGCAGAGTGTGAACCTATAGGAAAGCAACTCTTTACAAAACCCCAGAATCCATTTATTAGACCAGACGTTAACTCTTCTTGTGACAAGGGGTGAGTGAAGGCTGTCTCAGCCTGAACCAGGTCTGGCTTCCCAGAGCACACCGCCAGCTCTATGTAAGAGTTTATGTCAACAGTCTTTCCCTCTCTCGTGTTCATGGAAGTGTCGATCACACTGTTTTTCCATGCACGGAAACTATGCCTGTGCAATGGATGGATGGTGGTGTTGCTGGCTACACTATTGTTCCTATTGCTTCTTGTTCTGAAAGTGGTGAGTCTGCTTTGCAGCCAACAGCTCTTGCTTAGCTTTGTGGTCACCTGATGGCTAAATGACATGACTCTGTCTCTAGGTACCGGTTGAGTGAGAGTGTTTATCAGCAGTGTCAAGGCACAATTCCTTGGTTTATGGAGATTCGTCTTTGTAAAGGTGAGTAGCAGAATTGATGGAGCAGCTGAGATAATGTGAGATCTGTGCATTTGCTGGGGGATTTCTGCTGTCGGCCATGTTATGGGAATTAGTGCATTAGATTCTGTTCCATTAGCTTTGCGAACAGTTACAGTTGCATGGTTTTGTCTTTCTGTTGCCATCTCTCTCTACATTAATCAGTTAAATTAGATGTACTTAGTTACTGACTCTCTTTTGTGATGTAGGATTTTAAAGAATAATGAGAGCAGTGAGTCTATGAGCCACTTTCCTTAATTTTGGGTACACTGTAGTTAGGGGATTGGTGTAGAGTAGGGGATTGGTGTCAGATAATTCCGATTCTGTTTCTGCTGCTTAATAGCTGTATGACTTTGGACAATTTATGTAACTTCTCTGAAGCTCTAGTCTCTCATCTGTAAAGATGGCATAAAACTACAGACTTCAGTGTTGTAGAATTAAATGGTACTATACCTACTTCTAGAATAGGAAACTGCCCGTCACAAAGCAGGTTCTCAATCAACAATAAAAATTCTTAGCTAACTATATAAACTATCACATCACCTCAGCATGAAGATGGTACACAAAAAAGTATTATTCTATTCCCTTGTGCATTTTATCCTCCTATTGACTATTAAAAAGAATTCTTCTTTTAATTAGCAGTTGACTACTGGGTCTTACTGCCTCATAATATGATATTGGTCAGCATGTACACTTGTAATAAAGGTGTCCTTTCCTGTGAAATCTGTTTAAATTGAATTCTATATGCATAATGAGCTTTGATATAACTTACATCATGAAAATTCACCCATACCCTCTAGGAAACCACAAGTGCATAACCAGCTGCATTTCTATTCTTTGGAGTGTGACACTGGAACAGATTTTTACAGTATCTTTTCGTTTCTCCAGAAATCACCTGCCCACCACCCCCTGCCATCTACAATGGGAAACACACAGGAAGTTCCTCAGAAGATGTTCCATATGGAACCACGGTCACTTACACATGTAACCCCGGGCCAGAGAGAGGAGTGGAGTTCAGCCTCATTGGGAAGAGCACCATCCGGTGCATAAGCGATGATCAAGAGAGAGGCACCTGGAGTGGCCCTGCTCCTCTCTGTAAACTGTCCCTCCCTCCTATCCAGTGTTCACAGGCCCATGTTGCAAATGGATACAAGATATCTGGCAAGGAAGCCCCGTATTTCTACAATGACAGTGTGACTTTCAAGTGTAATGATGGATTTACTTTGAAAGGCAGTAGTCAGATTCGTTGCAAAGCCAATAATACCTGGGATCCTGAAACACCAGTTTGTGAAAAAGGTAAAAACCCAGTGAGTGAAGAAAAGAGATATTTACTTACTTATTCTTATTATCTTCCACCAAAAACTAGAGTCATGGAGAAAGGCAAGGGGGCACAGATTACTTTCCCATTTCTTCCGTTCTGTAACAGAATGTTCTATGTGTGTTGTGTGTGTTCTTTGTGTAAATGCCTCCTGGGATCTGGGATATATTTCGGGCAGATAATGAAAGGACCTTTTTAGAGGGGCCTAGTTCCTTCAAGAGAGCCCAAAGCATTCAGTGGTGAGCTACAGCTGCATGATCTTCAGCTGCAAAGTTCAGATTGTCTGTTGTCAGATGTTGTATATTTAATGTTCTTGAGTAGAAATTCCTCTGTATTGGTGTTTATGTGGGGAGTTTTCTCCTCAGGCTGCCAGCCACCTTCTGGGCTCCACCACGGTCAGCATACGGGTGGAAATACGGTCCTCTTTGTCTCTGGGATGACTGTACACTACACTTGTGACCCTGGCTACTTGCTTGTGGGAAATAAGTCCGTTCACTGTATGCCTTCAGGAAATTGGAGTCCTTCTGCCCCACGGTGTGAAGGTACTTTCACTTCCAGTTTTGTCTTTCTCTTTGAGATTAGGCAACTGTAAGTAATTCCAACTTTGTTTCTCCAGAAGCATGTCAGCCTATGAGGGAAGACCTTCAAGAGCTTCCAGTTGGTTCACGTGTGGAACTAGTTAACGCGTCCTGTCAAGATGGGTGAGTATGAGATGATCCATTCTGAGAAAGGGTTTCCACCCTGTTTCATGCATAGTTCTGCCCTCAGCTTGTCTTGGTGACTCCCTGTAGAGGTTGCTCCTTGCTACGCTAACAGTGAACGTGAATTTCCAATGGCCTAACTAGCATCTCTAACTTTTCAGTCCTTCCTTCACATGGAAAGGGCTTCACTGTGGTGACTCTGAGTCTAAAGTAGTTTTCTTATGTAGAGGATCAAGACTTTCAACTCCCCTCTGCCACAGTTCTTATTGAGAAGTACCTCTGTATGTGTAGTGTGAAGAGGCTAAGTTTCAGAGTTGTGAAATTGGGAAGAGGAAATGTATCATACTCTGTCTTTCTCTAGCTACCAGTTGACTGGACATGTTTATCAGAAGTGTCAAGATGCTGAGAATGGGGTTTGGTTCCAAAAGATTCCACTTTGTAAAGGTAAGTTAGAAGAAAAAGCTGACAGTGGTCATAGAGGGTTAGAAAGGCAGGCCACTGAAGAACTGGTCTGAGTACTTCAGTAGTCTCTGTGTTCTGCCTCAGTGTAAGATAAGAAAAACCTTTCACTGTTGCATCAGCATTGGCATTAGGAAATCAAAGTTGTCAAGTAGGAACTATTTGCCATGTATCTGCTAATTTTACTAAAGTTAAAAACCAAATATAGCCTATATTTCTTGGTCATGGAAACATAGCCGTATTTCTTTCTTTCTTAATACTTTACTGTATTTTCTGAATTTCTTTGAAGGGGTATGTATTGCTCTTATAATCACAACATATAATAAAGCTGTTTTTTTAAAAATAATTCAGGTTCCAAAATTTAAATAATTTTCTAGTTATATGAAATACATGAAGTTTCATAGTGTCATTTCTACCCGAATGAAGACTGTCCATGTTGATGTACTGGCTGAGATAGACTTCCCTAAATTTCTTCTGCAGTTATTCACTGTCAACCTCCACCAGCAATTGACCACGGGAGGCACACGGGCATGGCGGCAGAGCACTTTCTATATGGAAATGAAGTCTCTTATGAATGTGACCAAGGATTCCATCTTTTGGGAGAGAAAAATGTGTGGTGCACAAGTGATTCAAAAGGACATGGAACTTGGAGCGGACCTCCCCCACAGTGCTTGCGATCTCCGCCTGTAACTCACTGCCCTAACCCAGAAGTCAAACATGGATACAAGCTCAATAGAACTCTTTCCATGTATTCCCACAATGACATAGTCTACATTGCTTGCAAAGACCTCCCCCACAGTGCTTGCGATCTCCGCCTGTAACTCACTGCCCTAACCCAGAAGTCAAACATGGGTACAAGCTCAATAGAACTCTTTCCATGTATTCCCACAATGACATAGTCTACATTGCTTGCAATCCCAGCTTCATCATGAATGGCAGTCACGTGATTAGGTGTCATACTGATAACACATGGATGCCAGGTGTACCCATTTGTATCAGAAGGGGTAAGATGTTTTAAGGAGTAAAATATGGGATATTGTACAGAAAAAATAAAGTTTTTTGAATCTGCACTTGCCATTCTGCTGAAAGAAAAGCATCTAAAAGCTAAGGCAGTTATATTGTTTTACAAGTTATCTGCCTTTTCTTATCTTCTCACCTGATTCTTTTTTCCCCTTTCCTTTCTCAGTGTGTTGAGCAATAGTACATGAAAGGATAATGCTTAACTTCCAAATTGATGGAGTCTCTGAACTTATTATTCTTGTGGATTTAGAATAAGGAAATTACACATACCTTTTTGGGGGGCAAATGTTTAGCAGTAATATTGTTGATAACTCAATATTTAGGGCTATAATACCAGCCAGAAAGAGAACTTTGGGTGTTCTGGAGAATGAAGCTGGCCTTCCAACCCACTGAATTGTCTTTCTTCTACAATTCTAGTTATCATTTGGCAACCTTATTTTTATCAGTGACTATTAACAGCAGAGGCTGCCAATTGATGACCCAAGAACTGAATTCAGCTCCCCAGAATTGTTTTCTTTGGCCAGCAAGTAGTGTTATTTTAAGTGAAACCCATCTCCACAGCCCAGGCTGAATACTGGACCTGTGAAGGATAAGGGCCCCCTTTGCTTCTCTGCAAGGCACCAGTAACTTGAGCTGAGCAGTGGCTGCCACGTTTAGAAGGACAGGGGCTCTCTGATTTGTCATATCTGGTGGCTTCATTTACTAGCTCTTGTAGGCATTTGAATGTGTGACCCTCAGACTATAGCCCGTCTTCTATTTAATTGGAAAAGGAAAGAATACTATTTGCTGATAGGTTACAGTTGTAGACCACAGACATTGATGTTTCATTAAATTATTATTGACACTTTTGTTCAAATCATACATAATGTACAGAGAGAATTGCAAATCTCTGTCCAGTGATGCTTGGTCTGGGTAAAATGTTTCTGGATACCAGTTAGATGGCTTATTGCCCGTCACCTTTCCGTATGAGGTCACCCAGAAGTAGTGTTGGCCGTGTGTTCCTCTGTGCTGAATTAAATATCCTTTCTTATTGGTGTCTAAGCTTTCTTAAGGTGTCAGCCTCCATCTAAGATCCCCAATGGGAATCACACTGGTGGAAATATAGCTCAGTTTGTCCCTGGAATGTCAGTCCTGTACAGCTGTGACCCGGGCTACCTGCTGGTGGGAGAAGCGCTCCTCCTTTGCACACACGACGGAACCTGGAGCCAACCTGCCCCTTATTGCAGAGGTGCTTTGTCTATCTTGTTCCTTTTCTTTTAAAATCAAATTTGTACCAAACAGATATATTCAATTAGCTATTTTCAATTTAAAATAGCAAAAGAAGTGCATTAATTGAATCATTTAACTAGATGAGTTTAAATGCTTTAATCGGATTTATACATTAATTAATATAACATATATATGTAGTCATTCACACATAGAAAGTTGAAGTTCTTTTATAAATTAAACAACTAAAGTGCAGCTCAAAATAAGAAAAATGGCTTATGCTGTAGTATATCTTGTGAATGACCATGTATGTAGTCATTCACACATAGAAAGTTGAAGTTCTTTTATAAATTAAACAACTAAAGTGCAGATTGTATGTACGCAGTGGTTACAGTTCAGTGTGCATTTGACACAGCAGCAATAAGAAGCACAACGATCCTTTGAGTGTATTTCCTGAGTGGTGGTGGGATTTTTTATAGGTAAATGGGTAAATTTTTTATAGAAGCTTCAGAAAGTCGTTTTATTATCATAACACAGAGCATATGAAATATGAATGGTAGGTTAACATCTGGTATTTGTTGGACACTTTTCACTACGTGCAGACACTGTGCACAGCACTTTATCTCACCTGATCTTCATGAGATCCACAGAGACTGGTGCCACTGTTATCCCTGATTTATAGATGAGGTTCCAGTAGCATGGAGAGATTTGTAACTTACCCAAAGTCACCCAGCTAGGAAGAACTAGAGTCGAGATGCCAATCCAGGATCTCACACTATCGACCCTACGGTGGAAAGATGAAAGAAGAAATGAGAGAGGGCACATGTGTGAAGAATTAGAGAGTAGGACTAGCAGCAGATGAATCAGTAACTCAGAACACCTGATACTACCCATTCAGCCCTCACCATTTCTCTAAGAAGCCAATAAAATTACTCATATCCCACACTGTTAGCATAGAAACTGAGGCAAAAAGAAAGAGAATGATCTGGCTTAAATTACCCAGAGGTTATTGAGATAGGTGGCTGACACTAAGACTGTGCCTAGAATATTGTCTTCTTATGCTATTTCAGTCAAGCTTTGCTTACTGAAAATGAAATCAATTGGTTTCATAAACCTTTCCATTACTGGCAGTTTCTGCTTTCTTGGTAAAAGGCCAAAGTATGACTCTGTATAATTAGATTCCTCTAATTTCAGAGGTAAACTGTAGGCCCCCAGAGGATATGGATGGAATCCAGAAGGGGCTGGAACCTAGGAAAATGTATCAGTATGGAGCTATCGTCACTCTGGAGTGTGAAGACGGGTATACCATGGAAGGCAGTCCCCAGAGCCAGTGCCAGGATGATCACCAGTGGAACCCACCCCTGGCTGTTTGCAGATCCCGTAAGTGCAAAGGGCTCCATTGTTGCTTGTACCTGGCCCATGGAGAGATGAGAGTGACAGGTCTCCCTCAATGTCGGAGACTCCTGGGCTTTCAGTTGACATAGGTCTGGGATCAGCGGTGCAATAGCAAACAAACTTGAAGTCAGTGGTCTATTCTAGAAAACATGCAGCTTTCTGAAAATGGGAGAAGTAAATCAAAGAAAATAAAAAGAGGAACACTAACTTAAAAGGAGCAAAAATGCAAAACTAACGACCTAACATGTTGGAAGCAGTTACTGCGGAGACTTCCCTCCTTGCTGAATTGTGATGTATAAGTGCAATTTGACAGGGAGCTCCAAAAATATGTTAACTTGCTTGTTGTAACAGTTAATATTTGCATTCTAACATAAGAAATCCCTGATTATGAAGTTGAAAATATTTTTTCCACTGGTGAACTCCCCCAGGCTATCTAATAAAAATGGAAAGAAAGAAAAGTCCTACTTATTTCTTTAGAGTATATTTTTAGAATTATTAGGGATAAGTGAGCATTTAATGTCCTTAATAAAATTGTCAAATAATTAATGTAACTATATATGTTGTGTTTCTCAACCTCTTTTTCTGCTTCACTGATCTTTTCTTCCATCACAAACCACTTTGTGTTTAATTAATATAGCTTTGTGCTATTATAATATCTGGTAGGACAAGAATACCTATTAAAATTTTGTAGGACTTTCCACTCTATTCTCTCCTGTCTGTTCCTACAGGTGATTTTTAGAAACATTTGTCATTTTCTGAAAACAAATATATTATGATTTCATTTGTCTGTAGTTGAATTTGTGAGAAGTTGGCATCTTTTCTGTAATGCCTTCTCATTCAGAAACATATTAGGCCTTTCCATTTGTTCAAGTAATCTTTTCTCTCAATTGTTTTTGTGGTTACTTAAATATATTACGAGGTTTCTATTTTTATGTTATATTTTCTTGTCCAGAAATATATACTTTTTACATTTAATTTTTAATTTTTTTTAACATCTGAATCCATCCAGAATTTATGCTATGGTATCATGGCCAACGTAACCTCACTTGTACCTTTTTTTCTATATAGTAATTTTTTTCAAAGGCTATTTTGAGAAAACTGTCCCTTAGAGTAATTAGAAATTAAAATAAATAGAAAATGTGGTGTCTTTGTCTTTCCTTCATGCTACCAAGTTTGCTATCAGAGCATTGCATGTATAGGAAAATTTGCAAATTAGGGGATGCCGACAAGCTTGAATAATTCATAATGTTCCAGTCTGACTAGTATTTTTATTAACATGATTATATCATATACTATATTTAAGTGCCTCTGTTAATATACACAAAATGTGTGTTTAAATTCCTGTGTCACTCGTTTTATTTCTATTTCTTAACCTACTTCAACTTATTTTCTGATAATTGGTATAGACGCCTAAAATACTTTTTTTAAAGAGATGAGTAAGTACATCATTTAAAAATGAATGTCTAGTAATAAAATTATTTTTAAAAGTCAGCTTATTTTCTGATAATTGGTATAGACGCCTGAAATACTTTTTGTAAATGAGATGAGTAAGTACATCATTTAAAAATGAATGTCTAGTAATAAAATTATTTTTAAAAGTCATCCAAACATTTGAAGGAGATTATGCTGTTCTTTTTTAGTGATCTAAAACCTAAATCTCACAGTGACCTACAAATTACCATTTTATAATATTCTTAATACATCTCCTATCAGCTAATCTGTTAAAATTGTAGTGAGTGACATGCCATAAGTACCCTTGGCAGTAGTCTTTCTTCCCCAGTAATTTTGTAATACTTTCCTTCTGAGCTCTACATAATAGTATAGTCACATTTTATTGTCTTTCGCTAATTCTGGCAAGGTGGTTTTAGAAGTGCAGTAAAATATGTGTGTTTTCAAATAGTAAAAGTAAAAATGTTCTCTTGAAAATTGTTTAAAGCTTTCAGTGCTATATGACTATATAACAATTTCTAGTTAAATATTAAATATAAAAATTTGCTTTTAAATTAGATAGGAATATTGTGTCCTGAAAGGCTAAAGTTATGATCATATACTAAAATAAAACCTTCTTTTTTATATTTTTCTTCAGTTTGGGAGTCATAGTTGTTAGTCATAAAGAGTACTGGATTTGGGGTAAAGCTGTCTAGTGTCACCTTCTGATTTGGACACTAATAAGCCTAGCAAGTTATTTATTTTCATGTGCCTTTCCAAAAAATAAGGTTGTAGTGTTTACTTCATAGGATATTTAAGAAAATAAAATGAAATCATCCATGAAAAGTACTTTTCCTGTGTTGGGAACTATGGAAAGCAAATGACTGTTATGTCTTTATAATGATAATGGTTGGTGAGTAAAGATTTTACTTTATTCTCTTTTCTTCTGTTTAGTGATTATTATACAACTACAAGTTCTAAAGAAGGAGATCTTCATTTAGAAACACGAGAAGTGTATTCTGTTGATCCATACAATCCATCAAGCTAATCAGAAGACAAACTGGTATCTATTAATATGTTAAAAGTTCCTTCAATTTATATTTATTAGTAAACATAGTACTAAGTATATATGGTTCTGACTATCACGTAGTTCTTTAGTAATCATGCATAGTAATTGTTAACCCACCTATGTCATATTGCTAACTAACCTTCCTATGTTTTTTAATCCATTCATCCATTTACACGTATTTAACTAAGTAGCCAAATGACTAAGAATTAAATAAATAGGATGGTTATTATCAAGAGAAACAAAGTGGGCAAGGGGTAGACAGAGCAGGTGGTTGTGAGGGAAGGCCTCGCTAAGCAAGTGGCACTTAAACTATGACTAGAGGCATGAAAGGAGCCAGGCATGTGGCTGTTTGGGGACAGCATTCCAGGAAGGAAGAGCGGTGGTGCAAAGACCATAAGGTGGTGTGTGCCTGCTGTGTTGGTGGCATGGAGAGGCGGCCAGTGAACTGAGGAAGCGGGAAGGTGGTAGAGATGACATTAGAGAGGTTCGCGGTAGGTGGAGGAGAGATGATCCTACAGAGTATGGTAGGTCATGGTAATGAGTTTTGTTTTTATTCTGAGATGGGAACCATTGGAGGGTTTTAAGCCAAGGACTGACACTTTCACCTTAATTGCTGTGTTAAGAACAGACTGTAGGAAGCCAAGGGTGGAAGATGGGAATCAGTGGGGAAGCTGTTGCAATAATCCAGGCAAGAAACTGTGTGGCTACCACCAGGCTGGTGAGAAGAGGTCAGGCTGTGTATGCATTGTTAGGATCATGACAATAGGATTTGCTGACAGTCTGTTTCAGAATATGAAGAGAGGTATCAGAGATGATGCTGGGTTTTTTTGGCATAAGCAATTGGAAGGATAGAATTGCCATTAATTAAGATGATTGAGAACGTGAAGAGCAGAACTACAGGGAAAAGTCAGGAGTTCCGCTTTGGAAATGTTAAGTGTGAGATGTCTCATGGAAGTGTCAGGAAGGCAACTGAGGTACAAGTCTGTACTCTAGGCAGCAGGTCCAGGCTGGAGACATAAAGTTGGACCTCATGGGTGTGTGGGTGTACATCACAATGACACTGCATAAGACCACCGGGGGGAGGAAGAGGTGAGGGCAGAGAAGAGGTCCACGTGTGAGCCTTGCATCCTCCAACATGAGGAGTCATGGAGTGAGACGGGACCAAGAAAGGAGTGAAGAAGCAGCCTCTGATATAGGAGAAAAACCCCAAAGTGTGATTTCTAGAAGTCAGGTGAAGAAAGAATTGTAGGGAGGAGGGAATGATCATTGTGCCAAGTGCTGCTGATAGGTCAAGAAAGCTGAGTCGTGAAAGCTGACCATTGGAGGCAGCAGCACAGAATTGTTGGTGAACTTGACAAGAACAGTGTTGGTGGAGAGGAAGGAGGCGGAAGCCTGAGTGGAATGAGCTTAAGAGAGAATGGCAGAAATTGCACTATACTTTGAAGGAAATAATGTCCAAGAGAAGAAAACCAAGGCCGAAAGATTCTTTTCGCCAAAGTCTCAGGGCCAGTAACTGGGACAGGTAGAATTCTGACTTCCAACTGCTTTCTCCTATGTGATCTAGAAAATATAAAACAGAAGTATCAACTCTGCCCTCTTGGAACTTATTTTAGTAAGAAAAATAAAACCTATACATGTCACAGTGTAAGAAGTACCATAAACAGGAGACATAAAATCTGCAGCAGTTGAGGAAGGAAAGGCAACTTGCTGCTGGTGAGTCCTAGGTGAAGAGGAGACAGGAGAGATCACAGCAGGGTGACCTGTCAATCCAAACCGGGGGGGGGGGGCAGAATACAGCTATTGCAAATATTTGTTAAGTAAATATATGAAAATTTGTTTCCATTTCTCCATCATTTCACTGCATCATCAATATAAAATGTAGTTGTTATTTGTTCCAGGTCATGTTATTTGAAGCAGGACCTGTTAATAGAATGATATCCTCTAATAGGCTTGATGCTTTATTGTTGTACCAGTTACAGTTGGTGTATGTACAGAGAGAGAGAATGCTAACACTCTCATTATCTAAACCTTGAGTTGATCTGCTGCTATCCCTGCTGCCTCCTAAACTGAAATGATCTATTTCAGGGTGCCTCGTTGCTTGGAGCCCAACTGAGCATTGATTGGAAAGAAACCACTCTAATATCAGCAAGTCTCTTTGTGTGGTCTCAACGTGAATGAAATGATTTCATAAGCTGCGACTTCCTATATGCGCTTATTCTTGATGGTAAAGACAGGAGTCCACGGTCACTGCCATGTGCTCTTCAAGGACTTTCTGAAGCCTCGCTGTGATGTGCCCGAAGCCAGGCTTTGGCTGTAAACAATTACACGGCTCTAAAAGTGTCACCTTTTTAAGGACGGCACTAAAAGAGCTGTCCTCATATCCAGATGTATCTTCTTTTTGTAAACAGCACACTCACCGTTACCATATGCTTTTGGTTATAATGTGGTTTTAACTATTTAAACAAAGCATGATGCATTTCCTGTGGCTTTGCTGGGCACACCTCTATTGCGAAGTCTGGTTTTCTCTAAACAGTAGCTTCCTTCTCTGATATTGTTAACATTTCACATTCATTCCCACTTGGTTTGAGATTT